CCCCCACCCCTCAGGTGTCCCCAGGTGTGTCCCCAGGTGTCCCCAGGAGCCCCTCAGGTGTCCCCAGGAGCCCCTCAGGTGTCCCCAGGTGTGCCCAGGAGCCCCTCAGGTGTCCCCAGGTGTGTCCCCAGGTGTCCCCAGGTGTCCCCAGGTGTCCCCGCCCCCCTCAGATGAAGAACTCCTCCTTGCGTTTCCCGCTGTCCCCGCCCAGGAACGCCTCCCGCGCCTCCCCGTGCTCCTCCAGCCCGCTGGCCTCGTGCGTCAGGTACGAGCCTGGGACACGCCCACAGCAGGGTCAGGACACGCCCACAGCGAGGGGGACACGCCCACAGCCATGGGGACATGCCCACAGCGAGGGGGACACACCCACAGCCATGGGGACACGCCCAGGATGCAAAGGACACGCCCAGGACACGCCCAGGACACGCCCAGGACACACCCAGGACACGCCCAACAAGCCCCACCCACTTCCCCCCTCCCATCCCCACCCCTTTTCCCCCTCCCCCACCCCAGCCCCGCCCCCAGCTCTCAAACCACGCCCCTCCCACAGACGCCCCGCCCATTTAAAGAGCCCACACCCATTTCCCAAAGCCCCGCCCCCTTTCCTGAAACCCCTCCCCTTCCCCAAGACCCCTCCCATTTAAAGAGCCCACACCCATTTAATGAAGCCCCGCCCCATTTCCCGAGGCCACGCCCCTTTCCCGTGGCCCCGCCCCCTTTCGCGAGGCCCCGCCCCCTTTCGCGAGGCCCCGCCCCTTTCCCGAGGCCCCGCCCACCTTTCTGCCGGACCGAGCACCAGAGCAGCGCCCCCAGCAGCAGCAGCAGCAGAAACACCAACAGCGCCAGGGCCCCGCCCACCACGGCGAACGGCCCCGCCCCCTGCGCCGCCACCACCGCCCCGGGGTCTGCGGGGGAGGGGACAGGTGAGGGACGGGTGACAGGTGTGGGACAGGTGAGGGACGGGTGTGTGACAGGGGAGGGACAGGTGTGTTCCAGCCATCCCCAGCCCCCCCAGGTGTCCCCAGGTGTGTCCCCAGGTGTGTCCCCAGGTGTGTCCCAGACCCCCCAGGTGTCCCCAGGTGTCCCCAGCCCCCC